AGGTTGCGGTGTTACGCCGGCCTCAGGTCCTGAGCTGTGTGGTTCAATTTCTTCCCCCCTTGGTGATGCGGGACCAGACAGAGTGGATGGGTCGGTGATACTCAACTCCGTCATCGCATCACCGGGTGGTATAACCGTGCAAACTGAGGGTGCTTCACTGGTGCGCGCAAACTCCGCGTCGCTACTCCCACCAACTCGTTGTATCTCGGATGGTCTTGCGTGCACCTCATCATCTGCCACGGTAATATCGACCGGGCACACCGGATGAGTGCCAGGTGAGAACTCGGCGACGAAGTCGGCCAAGGTCTGAGCTTTGATAGCAATGCACGGCTGGAACTTTACATCAAACTGTCCCAACTCGACCGCCCACTTAAGAATCCGACCAGAGAAGTCTGCCCGTTCGAATAAGGCTTTGAGGGGGAACTCGGTCAAGACGATGACGGTATGGGCATGAAAATAATGCGCCAACTTCCTTGAAGCCATCATCAATGCCAACGCAAGCTTTTCCAGCGGCAAATATCTCGTCTCAGCCGGCAGCAAGGTCTTGCTGACATAAAAAATTGGGAAGTGCTTGATTCCTTCAGCGCGGACTAGCACCGCACTGACCGCGTGCTGGGAAACGGCAAGGTAAAGGTAAAGTTCCTCTCCCGGCTTTGGTGTAACCAACAGTGGCGGAGTAGACAGATATTCCTTGAGCTCGGCCAAAGCTTGGTCACACTCTGCGTCCCACGAGAACTTTAACTTCAATGCTTGAAAGAAAGGGCGGCAGCGATCTGATGACCGACTTATAAACCGATTAAGCGCGGCAGCCATCCCGGCCAGATGCTGCACATCCTTAGCTGAGCTGGGCTGTTTTAATTCTTGCACGGCTCTGATCTGAGTAGGGTCTGCTTCGATGCCACGGTTCGTGACTAAGAATCCCAAAAAATTTCCAGATCCCACGCCAAAGGCACACTTTGACGCGTTCAAACGCAGCTTGTGCTTCTTTAGGATGGAAAACATCGCGGCTAAGTCGGATAAATGGTTTGCTTCATGTCGGCTCTTTATCACCATATCATCGATGTAGGCCTCCATTGTTCGGCCAAGCAAAGGAGCAAACATTTTGGTCACCATCCTTTGAAAGGTTGCCCCGACGTTCTTCAAACCAAAAGGCATAACTCGGTAGCAGAAGAGTCCCCTTGGAGTCGTGCAAGAGGTGATATCTCGGTCAGGCCCGTGCATGGCAATCTGATGGTAGCCGCGGTAGGCATCCAAGAAACTGAGCCTATTGTGTCCAGCCGTCAAGTCCACTAGCTGGTCAATGCGCGGCAAAGGGAAGCTGTCTTTGGGACAAGCTCGGTTGACTGTCTTATAGTCGACACAAACTCGCCACTTTCCATTCTTCTTGGGCACCACTACAGTGTTGAAAATCCACCGAGGGTAGTGCACTTCCTGAATTGCTCGTGCCTCAAGCAGGTTCTTTACCTTCTCTGCAACTACCTCGGCGTGATGCAGCGCCGATCTCCTTGTTCGCTGAATGACTGGCTTGGCTCTGGGGAAGACATTGAGATGATGGCAAATAAAACTTGGATCGAGGCTGGGCATGTCGTAAGGCGACCATGCAAAGACTTCGATATTCGCCATCAAAAACTCAACCATCTCGGTCCTCTCTATGGCCGTGAGACTTGAGCCGAGCAAGAAGAACTTGTCCGGCTGTTCTGTATCAATTCGCACCTTAACCCATTCCTCAACAGCCTTGTCTTCGGCCTTGGTGCCCACATCATCCAAGACACCCTGGTTCTTCGGTCCCTCAATCATTTGAACGAATCCTTTGGCAGCCCGGCTTCCGTTGACCGCCACGAAGCATTGCTTGGACATGACCTGATCGCCCCAAACCTCCTCGATTGCCCCCATAACCGAGGGAAATCTCATCACCTGGTGGTAAGTCGATGCTACAGCTTGCATGGCGTGTAGCCATCCCCTTCCAAGGATAAGGTTGTACGTCGAAGGCACTTGTAGCACCCAAAACTCAACTTGTTTGACCACGGATCCCGCTTTGACCGGCAGGATAATCTTTCCCAAAGGCCACTCTGGTTGTGAGTTGAATCCAACTAGTGGCGAAGTTGCCGGAGCCAAGTCTGTCTCCCGGAGTTTAAGCTGCTTGAACGCATCATAGTACATGATCTCGACCGAGCTTCCCTGATCGATCAAGATCCGCTTAACATCAAAGTCCTTGACGCGTAGTGTTACTACTAGGGCATCGTTGTGCGGCGTCTGGATACGCTCTAGATCCCTTGAGGTGAAACTAATCACGTCTTTTTCTTCAGTCTTCCCCCTTTTGATGGCAGGCTGTACCGACAAAACTTCCCTCATATGCTCTTCCTTTTTTATCATGCCCCGGAGTTCGCAAACACGCTCCGATTCCACGATGCCGTGGATGACATTAATAACTCCCTGTGGTGGTGTGTCTCGGTCATCCTGTCCCCTAGGATCGACCGGAGCCTGATTTGGCTTCACGCTGCCATCAATGTAAAGGTCTAGATGCCCGGCCGTAACCAGCTCTTCTAAGTGTTGCCTCAAAGGCAAACAATCCTCAGTCCGGTGGCCTCTCTCCCGGTGGAATGTGCAACGATACCGCGGATTGTAGCCCTTTTGTCCATCGCCCAACTTAGCAGGAAACCGGACATACTCCTCGTCTCGGATTTCACTAAGTATGCGATAGATTGGAATCTTGAAGACCGTGGTTATGCCAGTCCTTGCCTTCATCCTTCTGTTTGCGTCCGCTACGTCATCTCGGGGGTAGTCATCCCGGTCATTCCGACGTCCTCTACTCCGGTTTTTACGATTCGAACCACGGTCCGATTCCTCTGCTCGGTCACTTGAGCGGCTGGACTCCTGCCCAACTGCGTGCACTTTGCCTGCTGTCTTCTTGTCTGTTGCTACCGGAGTGGCCTTCACTGTAGAAGCTGACGCGTCATCCTCTACTCGGATGTGCTCATTGATGCGCTGCATGAGCTGGCCCATAGAGGTCGGCTGGTGCATAGTAAGCGAGTCCCGCAGTCTATGTCCGACCGGGAGACCACGCTTGTATTGCGTGATTGCAAGGTTGACCGGGCAGTCCAAGATCTCGTTGAAGGTTTTCCAGTACCTTGAGTTGTATACCTTCAGTGTGTCGCTCAGCTCCATCTTGACACTTAGCAAATGATCGACTTCCTTTGGTGTCTTTGTGTTGGTTTTGAAGCGTGTAACAAACGCCTCGGCCAACTGATGCCACCTTTGTATGCTCCCTTCCGGCAACCTCTCGAACCACTTTAAGCCCAGCTCACCTAAACTGGACGGGAAGATTAGGCACATAAGTCCGTCATTGCGCCTATGTCCGGCCATAACCTGTCGGAAGTGAGCCGCTGGAAAGCAGGTATTCTCTGAGCTTCGCGCCGGCGAGCCCGCTCCTTTAAGACCGCCCGTAAATCCTCCGACTGAGCAGAGTAAGAGTACCTCGACGTCGTCACCGGACGTGAGGGTTTGTAGGTGCTGTCTTGCGCGCTAGACTTTTCTGCATGCGCGTTGGAATCACCAACCTGGTAACTTCTGGTATAGATATGGACTGAGTACGTCGCTGACTCTGGCCACCTGAACGACGGGATGGGGTGCGCTCACTGTGGTCTCCTACTCCAGCTACACCCTTCCCTTTGACATGCCGCTTCAGATCCTCCATCTCCGCCGCCATTCGCCGGATGACAGCATCTTGGTCTCTCAACTTACTTTCCAGTCGCTTGGCGTGTGAGTCTCTCCTCCGCCGGTGACCGTCTGGACTCCGCGAATGACCATGACTTCTTCTGCGCTTATCCCGCGCGTCTACTGATTGTCCTCCAGTGGGCGTCCCCAAGTCCGCCATTGGATGGATGGCGAGAGGACCTTCTCTCCTTCGGGTGAACTCCGGGGTAGCTCCGTCTATGGCAGACAACGGAAACTCGTCGTTGTTCGCCATGGACGGCGATCAGATGAACCTGGAAGACAAGGTTTTGTCTGTCAAGTTCCCACAGACGGCGCCAATTGTATGGGGAGCAAATATTTCGGCAAGCCCGCACTCCTTTCTTCCAAGCTCCGTTTATGTCCGATCACCTACGCGCAAACAATGGTGAGCTACCCGGCGGTGTGTGGCCGGAAAAACCCTTCGACGATCTAGTTAGCACACACCTTAGGATAGAGAGAGAGAGAGAAAGAGAGAGGTGTTTGAGTGTAAGAAATCCTTTACAAAGTGTTCATCTGTCGCGTATGGGGGGCGCAGACATGCTTATATACCCTCTGCGCCCCATATCCACTTCCAGTCATCTCCTGACACGTGGCTCCGCTATCCCATCTGTCAGCATAAACATTGCCGATCATCACCTAATCTCAACTGCCTGCCTTCTCAGCAGGAGCTCGGCAGCCGAGCTACTCTATCCACGGCCGTGCTATGCTTCATACCCAAGCACCTCACTGGATAAACCCAAGGAGGACCGGGCTAGGCGGCATCTCGGCAGAGCCTAGCCCGGGCACCTCCTGTGGTCGGCTTTCCTGTCGATCAAACGGTTTCCTCGGTTGACCACGCCTTTCCGGGCACCGGTCACTCAGCTTGTCTGGCTTCAGCCATCCCCTAATCAAGCAGCTCGGTCCAACCGAGCACTGCCTTGCCGTGCTTCTTTTCGGTCCGGGGCGGCACACACTTGGCCCAATTCCTACCCGGGCCAAGTTCTGGCAGCCCATCTCCGGGCGGATAGTCGATCATCTTGGCCCCATGCACGGTTGGGCTCTCTTCCTGCTCGGCCGTTGCCTCGGCCTAATTCCAGATCATAAATCACCCTCTCATATAGTTATTTTTGCATAGCTACTTTAGGCTATGTTTAGAAATTACAATGATTTAAAAAATAAAAATAAAATGTATAAGGAAGTAAAATGAAAAGAAAATAAACTTTTCTACATGTGTTTAGTTGTGTAAAAGTTATGTTTAAAAAACTTGCAAGAAAATAAAAATTTATTACTTTATTTGCATAAAAGTGAAACAAGTTCTTTTATTTTCTCCAAAGAAAGTAAAAATAAATTGCATGTAAAAAAAATTAAAAATAAGGACAAATTACGATAGTAGTTTCTAAATTTGTTTTCCTGTGTCATTTTGCTCCATACACCTTGGGGTTCATTATACTCAATTCACTTGTATGTCCACACTTATATTTCATGAATTATGATTTGAAGTCCATGTTGTGGGCGAACCATGAAAATCTGAATCGGGGAATGGACATAAGCTGAGGATAAGGTAAGCATGTATCGTTGCAGAATCATGGAGAGTGCTATCTTTGCTTCAATGACTGCAAAATTCAAGCCCACACAAGTTCGAGGTCCAAAACCAAAGGGCAAAAATGCTGCTGATGTATTGTTGGTAGCTTTAGCCACCCCTCCTGCAAATCTTTCTGGTTTGAACAAATGAACATCTTCTCCCCATATCAAAGGGTCATGATGAAGCGCTAAGGGAGAAATATATAACTCCATTTGTCGAGGAAGAATAAGCTTCCCTAATTGAACTTCCTTGTCCACTTTCCTCTTTATAAATGGTACCGGAGGGTACAATCTTAAAGATTCTTCAATAATCATATTCATCTGTATCATAGGAAAAAGTTGGATTGGAATGAACATGCCAAACTTTAAGATTGCATTGAATTTTTTTGGTTAAATTTAAAATAAATGCTAGAAAAAAGAAAAGAAAAAAAGGTGATGATATACTTCTTAAACAATTAATAATGATGAATAACCTAACTTCTACAAATTCTAGAACTAATTAAAAAATAATATGAAACATGCAACATAAAAATATGGAGAGAAGAGAAAGTACAAAAAAAATAGACATGTTTTTTTTTTTTTTTTTTGTATATATGTAGGGTATTCTGGGTCAGTTTACACACACCAGAAAAATTTGACATGTAAAGAGATGCTCAATGTCCTAAAATTATTATTCCAAGATACAACTTTTATATTCTATATATAATTTAAGTGTTCAATGAGTACAATGGTTACATATGAAATGATAATAGCTACATTAAAATTTACAAATTAATTTGTAACGCAAGAATAGTATTATAACATCTATAATTGTCAAATAATTAATTAAGAAATATTTTATATTGATTAAAAAAAACTGCAACAATTAAAATAGTTAGACTTACAATTTTGAGTCTTGCAATGCCATCTGAATTTGGATTGTTTTGGCCAAACAAATCAAGCACCTCCCTTCTAGCTTTGTCTTGCCAATCAGTATGAATAGCTAGAAGAAGAACAGTCCAACTGAGTAAGGCTGTAGTTGTTTCATGCCCAGCAAAATAAAATGTCTTGCACTCATCAACCATATCTTCTATTGAAATCCACTTGTCCTTATCTTTATCATGGTTTGCCTCCAAAAGTTTTCCTAGAAAATCACTTTCACACCTTTCTATTTCTCCAATTTTCAATTTCTCCCTTTTCTTTATGATCTCTACAATACAATCTCGAATCCCTTTCTCAATAGTTTCCGATTCTTTATCATCGGCACTTCTGAAAATTTGACTGGAAAATAATTTATATTTTAATGCATGATGAAAAAGACAATTAGTACTTGGAATTGTTTTGGTGCTTAAGATAGTCACAAAGCTGTAATACGAGGCCATGAAATTTAAATTTTGTACAGTATCTATTCTAATAGTAAAGACATGGCAGTATGAACTCTATTTTTTATTTTACACTCACCTCCTGGAGTTTCTGACAATTACATTGGCATCCCTTCCCTTTTTTTTGAAATTACACTGACCTCTCTTGAGGTTTATTTTAATTTGTAGATTCCTTCTTTCCGTTAGTTGGCCGTTAGTTTGACTAACAATTTTATTTTATTTTATTTTTAATATTTTTTTTGGCAAAAGTTAGTGATTAGTTGTTAGATTAGCACATAACTATAACATTTGAAGTGATTATCTATAAATTGTAAAAAAAAAATTACTTAACCAAAAAATATATATATATCTGTAAATTAAAAATAAAAGAAATCAATTAATCATTTTGTAGGTAAACAAATTAATATGAATTATTGAAGCCAAATGACAAATGCAGTGTCCCAATTCGATTTTTATTAATTTAGATAATGAGACTCATCAATTTTATTTTATTTATTTTTATGACAACTGAGCCGTATGATATTAAATATTGATTAAAAATTACCAAATAACTTCTTTTATATTTATGTAATTAATTTTTTAATTTGTTTGATCATCACTTTTGTCACAATAGTAGGTTGTTCTAGAATACACACCATTTTATGTGTACCATATTTCGTTATAAAACACACACCATTTTATGTATACCGTATACAAGTTATAATATTTGTGGTGTTGATTACCACAAATATAATAAGTAATTTTTTTCAATCATAACTAAAAAAAAATTGAGTCATAACCAAATACCACATAAAATATAACTAAAATAATAATCGCACATTTAATAGTTATCAACAAAAATATTTCTAATGTTAAAATTACTAAACTAACCCTCCTACTAACGCCGTTAGTCACATGGGAGGTCAATGTAATTTCAGAAAAATGAGAGGAGACCAGTGTAATTGTTAGGAACCTCAAGGGGAGGTGACTGTAATTTACCCTTTATTTTATCTTTTATCCCAATCAGAGCTCAAAATAATAAAGAAAGTGACTAGTTATATGGTCTATAAAGTGTGTAAAATTTCATGGTTTATTTGATCAACAGCCATCCTCGTAGTTTATATGTAATATGGTCTATAAAGTATGTAAAATTACATTGACCATTACATGTGAATTTGATCAACAGTTATATCCCTTTGATTTTGTTGAAATAACATGTAAATTTTCAAAAATTACTTATATCACATTTTGAATGATGTGAGCACATGAATCATTTTGTAATACGGAGACCAAAATTGACAAGATGAGTGTCACATTTTGCAACAAAACACATTTTTTTTAGGACAATTGCTGTATTAGTCATTTGTTTGAGCCATTTATAAATTGTATTTGTAAGGAGTGAAGGTGTACCTGATGCCAGGAAATCTAATTTTATGAACATTCCTGGAAACTATCAAAGTCAACTTCATCAACATCTCAAAAATATTTTTCCCTTCTTGATAACTGCTTCCAAAAGCTGTCTTAGAAATGACTTCTGATGTTAATAATCTGAACTCTTGAAACACCTCCATCTCTTTTCCTTCATATTGTTTCCACCTTTCTAGCATCACCTCAACACTTGTGACCATTGCTGGAAACATACTCTACACACACACACACACACACATATATATATAGCAAAATTATTTGACACAACACAACACAACACAACACAATAATATTAGTACTAATAATCATCGATATCATCTTGATCATTGAATATTAACAAGTGGGGTGTATCTATCTTACTTTCAAGTTCTCTGCATGGAAAGCATGGTTGGCTAGTTTTCGTAACTTTGCCCATTTTTCGCCTTTGGAGGATGAGAGTCCATCCCCTAATAGCTTCTTGGCATGGCCTTCAACATCTATTTTCGGATAAGTATCATCTTTGTTGTTCAATATGTCTTTGATGAGCTCTGCTTCTGTAACAACCAACTGAGCTTGACGGCCATACCAATTAAGGAAATTCTTACCTAGTTTAACAGAAATCAAAACAAAATGTTGTTCGAATTTTAGAAATGGACTACAATTAGTAACAACCAATGTAGAAAATTACAAAATGTTACCATATATGTTAACCCATTGAAAGACATGAGGCAGAATTCTAGGAAGTATGTTGTGTGATAAATTACTCATGGGTTTTGACATGGATTCTTTTCTCATATTGAATATCTCTTTGGTGTTTCCATGGAGAAATTTGTATGAAGGGCCTTTGATACCCTGTGACTTCATTTTGTGTTGTATTTGAATTGGAGTCCACCATACTTTGTGAAGGAACCTGGTGAGAGCCAAGAACAGACATACAAACAAAGAGGCTGCAAGGAGGATTGTGAGATTTCCTACCACTCCCATAATATCTTCTTAACTATTAAAACCAAAATGACTTTAAAAACTATGGGAACCAAACCCATGTATTCATTTTTATATGTACTTCTTTTTGTGCACAATAATGGTGGAAAGAATCTATATGTTGAAGGTAGAAGACATATGCTCAGCGACGAGATTTTATTTTATATTTTAAAGATTGGTTAAAATACAATTTTTACTTTGAAACTATCATTCAAATTTTATTTTGATTCCTCATCTTCTAATTGCAATAATTAAAATATCAAAGTTCAATTTATTTCAATGTCCTTTCACTAGTTATTAAAAAAAATTAACAGAAGTGAGCATGTTTAAAGGTATTATAGAAAAAATAATTTTTTTTTAAAAAAAATTACATGTATCCTTCACTTTTACTCAAATTTCACTTTAGTTTTTCAAGTTTTAACTTTCATCTGAATTTGAAACAGAATGTGACGGGAGGACTACACTGAAACTTCGGTTAAAGTCTTACGATTTGAGTTGAATCGTTCCAATTATAACGACCATCTAAATCGTATACATAATAATCATAAAATTCACATATGATCCTTCTAGTGTGTTTTGAATTAGTTTGGTCTTCAAAAGTTATAGGTTGTGTTTGGAATGATTTCTAAACGATGATTCTACCCCTTTATTTTAATATGATGTTTGGATAGTCCTCTCAAATTATATTTCCGCAACATTTAGAAAACTCTGCAGAGTGAGGCGCGATTTTCAATTTTATTTTTTTTTCAAATTTGGCGTAACCGGTCGTCCCACTGGTCGTCTGGCCAGTTGACTAGAATAGTGTAAATTTTATTTTATTTATTTTATTTTTATTTCAAAATTGACATATGTTAATTTTTATATATTTGAAAAATATATTTTCCGAATTTTGAATTTTTTTTATGTATTTTAATAGAATTTTGAGTTGTATGTTTGGTTATTAGTTGTAAGTTTTTATATCAAATATCATATGTCACATCAAAAATTTCCTACTCCATTCAAAACTCTTTTACCAAACAAATTTTCCACACTCAAATTATAATTTCAAAACTCACAAACTCAAAATACAACTTCTATTCTCAAATCATAGTTAGAAAGATTTACCAAACGCAACCTTAAATTTTCATTTTCGTCCTTAATATTGCAAGACTATGTTTTCATCTTCTTCAAAGAGTGTTTAAGCTATATTTTGTCTTTATTAACAATATTTTAAGAACTAAAGTGACACAAAATAATTATTTTAAAAATTATATATCTATTTTTATCATACTTCACACATTCAATTATTCAAATTTAAAAGAGAATGATTTTAGTGAGGGGTGCTCCTCAATTTGGTGGTCAAGGATCTTTTGTACTCAAATCTTATTATTCCTGTATCCCAATCCAATCCTTGTTATACAATTGTGTTAATTTCGAGATTCTCATGTTTTAAAATTTTCACATTACTAACAGTGGCGGCTCTAGAAATTTGCACAGATGGGGCCATTTCATAAGCTTTTCTACAAATTTTAAAAATAATTTTTTTAAACTAAACATTTATTCTATTTGGTTTTGAATTTTTAAAAATAGTTTTTCAGTTTTCTTATTTGTTGTGTTTTGTAGCCTTTAGTGAATTTGTTTTTCTATTTAGTCATTTTTTTTATGTACCTAAAAAATAAAATATTTGTGACAAATTAGTAATTTTGTTATAAAAAATATTCACAAATATTTTAATTTTTAAGTGTATCTAAATTAAGTGAATCTAAAAAATAAAAATAAAAATCTGCTTAAAATATTTAAAAAATGCATCAAAGATAATTAACACAAAATACAAAAAACTTAAAAAGTATTTTTGATAATGTTTACCAAACATGACAAAAATTCAGCATTACGATAATATCATGTCACTATTGACACGTGGTATTACCTACTAATTATAAACCTACTTGTGGAGAGTGAACTTCAATCTCAAAATATAACTAAGTTGCCACATATATATGAGAAGGTAAATGATAAGATATTATTAGATGATGATACCAATGAAATAGTATTATTATTGTATTGAATATTTTTTTTATTTGATGGGATCCTTGATTTTTAACCAAACTATATATAATAAAATATTAATAATGCAAATAAAATTTTTTTAAGAGCTTTTGTTTGCTTGATGGGGGATGAGATCCCATCAACTATGTGATAGCAACTATGTGATAGAGTCGCCCTGATTATTGATTGAAAGTGTAATAAATAGTTTTAAAAAAATTAATTAATTAATGTAGAAGATCCCAAGCCCAATTTGATATCATTTCAGTCTCTCGTACTTCATTTGAGTCATAAAGAATTAGTAATCCATGAAAAACTTAGAAGCCATGGCAATGAGTTGATTAGGTTCATCTTCAAAAGTTTTATTTCATTTTGTCCTTAATATTGTAAGACTATGTTTTCGTCTTCTTCAAACAGTTTTTAAGCTATATTTGGTCTTTCTAACAGTTTTTTTTCTTTTTTTTTTTTTATCAGAAAAATAAGAAGCTTATTGATAATAGGAAAAGTACAAAAGTACACAAGTATCAATAAAGCAAGAAAGAGTAAAAATTATCATAGCTAAGTTAGACGATTTCAACTAGATTGATACTCAGAAGAAAGCTCAATCATATGCTCCAACCCAGGTTGGTGAGGCACCAACTATGCCAAAGCAAAACAAAATACAAAAAAGGAACCAGCAAGCATGTAACCATGCCACTCTCAAATGCAGGCCCTCACATGACCGATATTGAATAATAAATCATTCACTGAGTAATGGAAGTCCTTTTAACAGTGTTTTAAAAACCAAAGTGACACAAAATGATTGTTTTAAAAATTATATGTCTATTTTATCATACTTCAAACATTCAATTATTCAAATTTAAATGAGAATAACTTTAGTGAGGGTGCTTCTCAATTTGGTGGTCAAGGATCTTCTGTGCTCAAATCTTATTTTTCTTTTATCATAATCTAATCTTTGTTATACAATTGTGTTTCGAGATTCTCTTATTTTAAAATTTTCACATTACTGATTGAAAGTGCATTAAAATAAATAATAAAAATAAATAAATAAATAATTTAATATAGAAGATCCCAAGCCCAATTTGATATCATTTCAGTCTCTCATACCTCATTTGATTCATAAGGAATTAGTGGTCCATGAAAAACTTCCAAACCATGACAATTAGTTGATTAGGATAATTATTTATATAAAAACTGTACAACAAAATCTCTCCTTATCTGTGATATACTGGGTTGACAGGGAATAAAGGATAGTTTAATAAACGAAATGGAGGACCATCTTTCTCATAAATCCAATTTCATAGAAGATATGCTTGCATAATCATTTCATATTAAATACCAATAATATGACTATATTATACTATACTAATATTGTTAATTTAAAACAATTTCATTTCATTTCATGTCGTTGTACGTAATGAATTGTAAACCATATTTAATAGAATTATTTTACTACTATAGATCGATCACAAGAAAATATGCACTAAATTATTCTTAGGTGTCGTTTGGGAAGAGCTCATTTGGCCTCTTTTGGCTCTTTGAGCCACAAAAGACAGAATAGGCTATTTGAGCCACAACAGACAAAATATCACATCCAATCCATAATCATTACACTTTTCTCTCACAAAAAAAGTCAAAAAAACTAAAAAGACAAAAAATCCTTCCCAAACCAAGCTTTTGAGCCCAGGCTCAAATAGCCAAAAAAGCCAAAAAGCTAAAAAGCCAACCCACTTCCCAAACGGAGGCTTAGTGAAACGACTAGGGTTTGAAACATACATATTATTTGTATGTAGATATTAGGTAGGTTTAGAGGTGACACAAGCAACCCAAATCTATCATTTTATCTAATTACACCCATTTAACACACATTGAAGAAGGTCCAAATTTATAACCGGGTCTAAATAAGTTTCTCGAGCTAATTAAAATTGAGTTTATTTGGATTGGACATAATCTGTTTAAATGTGCCACTTCTTCCACCACTATTCCTTCACCATCACCAACACATCACCACCTACAACAAATTTGGGATTTAAAGACGAAACAAATTTGTCCCAAAATATATATATTTCGTCACCCAAACTAATTACGACGAACATTTTCCGTCACCTGTTTTGTCGCCAAAGGGTCGTCGCTAAAGGGTCTTAGAGACGAAAAAAAAAATTCGTCATTGAAAATGATAAATTTATGACGAATTTTTTTGTCTCCAATACACTTTGTTGGGAACATACTTGTAAGTAATTAGCGACAAAATATTTTGTCATTAAAGGAGAAATTAGAGACAAAAGTATTTCGTCATAAATATAAGAAATAGAGACGAAATAATTTTGTCACGTTTAATATAAATGAAGACGAAAATTTTTTGTCAAAGAAGCTACCAATAGAGACAAAAACAAATTCATCAATAAAAATGATAAATTTGTGATGAATTTTTTTGTCTCCAATACACTCTGTTAGGAACATACTCGGAAGTAATTAGCGACAAAATATTTTGTTATTAAAGGAGAAATTAGAGACAAAAGTATTTTATCATAAATATAAGAAATGGAGACAAAATAATTTTGTCACGTTTAATATAAACGAAGACGAAAATTTTTTGTCAAAGAAGCTACCAATAGAGACAAAAATAAATTCATCATTAAAAATAATGAAATAATGTCAAAAAAAATTCGTCACACATTGAGGGTAATAGTGACAAAATGTGACTATTTTTTGTCATGACAAATTCATTTAGCGACGAAATAAAGAATTCATGACAAAATTAATCATCCACCTAAGCGAAATAAGAGACAAAAGAACCTTCTTTAGGGATGGAAAATTTTGTCAATAAATAGATCGTTAAGGTATTGTGGTTTCTTGAATGAACTTCCATTTTTAAATTTCTGCAACTTCCATTATTATTTTTAT